TGCACATGAAATTGCAAATCCATTATGTATAAGTTTCTATTCTTTTTAAATTTATAATGTAAATTTATATTTTAATTTAATTTAATTTAATTTTAATTTAATTAATTTAAATTTATCATGTAAATTTCTTTCCCCACCTCCCTAGATGGCTACCATTAGTCACAAACATATATACTTGTATCATATCTATATATCTAGATATATGTAATATTTATATATGTAAAATCAGTCTATACCTCCTTCTATTCATCTACTTTACCCTTCACCACCTATTCTACAATTTAGCTCCACAGACCTGCTTGCTGTTCTTCTCACACCACATACCATCTCCCAACTCCATTCTTTTAACCAGCCATTCACCATGCCTGCAGTGCTCTGCACCCTTGACTCTGCTCTTGGTTTTCCCGGCATTCTTTAAGAGTCAGCTTAAACCTTTCTTTCTGCAATGGCCCTTCCTGGTCTCTACCACTGCTAGTGTCTTCCCTCTGAAGTTACCTCCCATTTAAATGATACAGGTCTTGTTTGAACATGGTTGCTCACATGTTGTCTCCCTCGTTAGAATGTGACCTCCCTGGGGGCAGAGACTGTGCTTTTAATTTTATATATTTATTTGTTTTTTGGTAAGGGCAATTGAGGCTAAGTGACTTGAATTACAAGTCACTTAGAGTCACACAGCTAGTAAGTATTATGTGTCTGAGGTCGGATTTGAACTCAGGTCCTTCTGACTCCAGGGCTGGTGCTCTATGCACTGTGCCACCTAGTTGCCCCTATGACATTAGGTTTTGGGTTTGTTTTTTTTTTGCTTCCACCTAATATCATTGTTTCATATTAAGTTGATGGTTTGCTGTACCCCACCTCCCTAGGTCCTTTTAATGCAAGCTGTTTTCAAGATTTGCCTTGTACGTTCTATAACTGCAGTGTATTTTTAGATCTTGAGGATAGTACCGTATATTTATCCTTAATAAATTTCATGTTCCTAGATCTAGCCTACCATCCTTGCCTGTAAAGACCTTTTTTTAAAAAACCTAACTCTGTTGTCCAACACAACCAACATGTCCCTCCAATTATTTTTGTCACATGCCATTTTGATACATGTGATAGATATTCATTCATCCAAGCCACTGGTAAAAAATGTTGAATAGCACTCCAGAAGGACATTCTCCTGTTACAAATTCTCCTAATTTTATAGTTGTTTAGCTCATATCCCTTCATCTTGTTCACAAGGGTATCATGGGAAATGTTGTCAAAAATCTCTGTCAAATCCAGGCATACTGTGTCTCTTCCATTCTCCTGATCACCTGATCAATCAATCAATCAAGCATGTATTAAGTGACTACCGTGTGCCAGGCACTGTCCTAAGTACTGAGGATGCAAATAAAGGCAAAAGACAGCCCCCAGGAGCTCACAATCTAATGAGGGAGACAATGAAATTAGTCTGTTGTGATCTATTCCTGATGAAATGATCCTGGCTGTTCATTATCATTGCTCCATTGCATCCTTTTCTAAACATTCACAAACCATCCCCTTAATAGTATATTCTATAATATTGCCTGAAATCAAAGTTGAGTATACTGGCTTATAGCTTGAACTCTGTCTCTCTGTGTCTTCTGTCTCTCTCCCTATCTCCTTGTCTCTGTCTCTCTTCTCTCTGTCATTCTCTGTTTCTTCTTTGTCTCTTTTTCTCTCCTATCTCTGTCCATCTGCCTTTCTTTCTCATTTTTTTCTCATTTTTCATGATTTTTCAGAGATCCTCTACAATAGCCCAGCAGTTCTGTGCTTTTGCCTTTTATTGTACCCCCTATCTAGAACTGACTCCTTCCTCCCCCACCTCCAATTCTAACTATCCTTTAAGATCCAGCCCGTGTGTCACCTCCATGAAGTCATTTCTGTTTCTTTCAAGCAAATGTGATCTGTGTTTCCTCTGAACTTTTTTGGCACTTATAGCTTTAGGCACTTAGAGTCTTTTACCTCCTTGAAAGCAGGGACAAATCCTTCCTATTCATCTATTCGTTCTCTGAAGCAAGTAGTTTGACACTGTGCATATAGTAGATGCTTTAAGAAATTTCTTTTGAATGGAGTGGATGGATTGTGGAATGCATCAATAGGGTTGCTAGTTAGAAATAGTTACTGTGGATGAGCTCTCCAAGGAAGAGAACATCCTTATGATGTACATTAACCTTTGCAAACAGGTCCAATGTATCAGCATCCATTCAAAACAGCATGATTCAAAAAAAATCCACTCATTAGCTCTACTGATGTATTTCTTTCATCGGCCAACATAAGAACATATTGATTAAAAGCAAAAGACATTTAAATAAAAAGTGTTGCTAAATAAATGACTAGCAAGATTCTCCTTATAAACACAGGGCTAAGTTCTTCTACCAGGTTGCCACACCACTACTGTGAAAAAAGCAAAAGTTCTGAGAATGTGTGTGACTGAGGAACACACTTGGAGGAACACATATGTAAGCAACATGTGTAGGTTCAGGGACATGTGTAGGCAAGATAACTCCCAAAGTGGCATCATCATCAAAATACTTCTCTGCCACTGATGATGGTGCTTTGCTCCCCCTGAAGATCTCCCGTTGTCCTCTCGTGACATCATTGGACTTTGAGCTCCTTTCCACACAGAGCTGGGGCTTTCTCTTCCTCTTCTCATTCTACTATGCTCCTCTCTGCTGATGTACCCATTAAGTTACTCTTTGTTACTTTCTGCTGGTATCTCTAAAGTTCTGTTCCCTGCTTCTATCCACTAGCTTCTCTGAGTCTCAGTTTCCTCATCTCTAAAGTGGGAATAATAATACCCATAGTACCTACCTCATAGAGTTATTGTGAGGATCAAATGAAATATGTATAGAAAGTTCTTTGAAAACTTAAAAACATTAAATGTCAGTTATTATTAATATCCATAGAGGGTTGTTTGATCTTTTCTTTCTTTAAATTCTTGCAGTTTGTGTGTATAAAGTGATTTAACATATGATTGCAATTGCAGTGTTCTCTAGTTGTTTTTGAATGTCTAATCTCAGGATAATTTATGACTTCTCCAGGGCAAGGATCAGGGTTTCTGCTTAATGCCGTTGGTGTGCCTAGCACAGTGCAAGGTGTGAATAATAAATACTTCTGTCTGGATTCCAAGCTGGGCGATTGGTAAACACTAGCTGTTCTCTAGCCCCTCAAATGTTTTGGTCCAATAATTTAAATTGGTTTGAAGTAGTTTTTTTAAAAAAATATATTATTGTGAAGTTAGGCTGAGGCAAGTCTTGAAACAAAACAATTGGAAAGTACCTTGAGCTTTCCAGGATTGGTTGTTTTGTAGAAACCTTTCAGTTCCTGGTTCTGGGTTCCTGGTTCCAGGAAATATTTATCTAGAGGTTGGATGGCCACTAAACAGTGATGGATAACAGTTCATGAACTTCTTAAACTGATTCATAAATAGAACATAAAAATAGCTAGCATTTGCACAGCACTTTAACGTTTGCAATGCATCTCACATAAATTACCTCACTGGGTCCTCAAAGCAATCCTGTGAATTAGGGACATCAAAAACCAGTTTCAGTAGGCTAGAACATTACACTGAATAAATGACGATGAAATTTGGTAGAGAGAAGTGTAAAGGCTTCCTCTTTGGTTCAAAAAATTAGTTTCACAAGGTATGTGGAGGTCTGGGTAAAAAAAATTATCGATGAATTACTAGTGTTGATTCAATAATATAATAGCTAAAAAAATTAAAAGATCCAAAAAAGGGCTAATTGTTAGAAGCACAGTGTCTGGACCTGGTGGTGGTGAGGGGGGTGGGGTGATAATACTACTATTCTCATCTTCTATAAGATTATGTGGTAGATATTATATTCAATTTGCAGTCATGTCTTAGGAAGGACGACAGTAAAGTGGAGAATATCTGAAGAAGGCCAGCTAGATTGTTGAAGAGCTAAAGCTGATATTGCATGAGGATCAGTTATATAAACTGGGGATGTTTAGTGTAAGGAAGACTTAGAAGGAAGAAAAAAAGGGAAGGGAACAAATACTTATTAAGTGCTTGCTGTGTGCCAAGTACTGTGCTAAGTACTTTAAATCTGGGAGGTAGTGTTATTATCCTCATTTTATAGTGGAGGAAACTGAGGCAGACAGAAGCTAAGTGACTTGCTAAGGGTTGCACAGGCAGTAAGCATTCTGAGGCCAGATTTGAACTTGGTTCTTCCTGACTCCAGAAAGACTCCATTCACTGAATCACTTAGCTACTTCTAGGAATGGGACATAGTCAACTTCAAGTATATTAGTTTATTATGTGGAAGAAAGATTAGACTTCTACTTAGCCCCAAAGGGCAGCTTTCTTCTTGGTTTAAGGAAGAACTTCCTAGGAATTAAAGATCTCCAAAAGTATAGTGGACTGCTTTAGGAGGTGGTGACTTCCTTTCCCTCTATAGGTCTTTTTTTTTTTTGGTGGCATTTGGCGTTGAGTGACTTGCCCAGAGTCACACAGCTAGTAAGTGTCTGAGGTCAAACTTGAACTCAGGTCTTCTTGACTCCAAAGCCAGCACTCTATCTACTGTGCCATCTAGCAACCCCTTATAGGTCTTATAAGCAAAGGCTGGATAACCACTTGTCAGGGATGTGTCATTACAAGTTATAACTTTCCAGATTTGTAATTCCATGGGGGCTTTTGTGGAGTACTTACCAACTTGATGTCATGGTCCTCTTCAAGAACGAAGGACAAACACCAACATCCAACCAAGAACATATATAAATACCTAAGTACTGAGGATGGGGAGAGAAAGGGTACGGGTGAAAACTTACAATGGGAAATCTTCCATAAAAGCCCCACTCCGACTTTTGTTTCTGTAATACCCAGACTCTTGACTGTACATTATGTTTTCAGTGGGCCACATCCTGGTATCAGTTTGGAAACACTTCATTCATTTTCAGAACAGGGGGGAGGCTGCACCATTGTTTTCTTGATACCTGAAGCATATACAGATGTGTTACTGTTTTTCCTTTCTTAGAATCTTTGGCTCCCTTTTGCTGTTTGGATTCCAGCTTGTCCTCCCTCAGCCCTCCATTGAGCACAGAAAGGTAAGCCTTAGACACTCACAGGTTTCTTCTGTAGCAGGAAAATTGGTGTTTACTTTCCTCTTCCCACCCCCTACCCTTACACAATGTCATCTTCTGGTAGTCATCTTCCTAGTATTTTAGACTTAAGTGATGGTGTTAGCCAGAGGACAGGGCTTACTCATCCTGACAGCTCTTACTTCCCCATATCTTAATGATCTTGTGCAGAAGAGGACTCGGGTTTGGAAGCAGTTCCAGCCTGACAAGTAGGCAGAGTCAGCATGCTTGGTATGATTCCAAATATTCTGGAAATGTCCCACCTGAGCTCCAAAATACTTCTTCTCAGTTCATTGAACCCACTGCTTCATTTATTTCTTTCGTTTAGGTTCTCTAAGATGTAAATAAGTATTTTTATGAAAGAGTAACAGACTATATCTCCTCACTTATTAATATCTCAATGTAATTCAATTTTAGGCATCCTTTCCTTTGAGTGGGAAATAGAGGTAGAAGGGAATAATGGAATTCAATTTAATTCAACAAGCATTTATTAAGTATCTATGAAATCAAGGAGGTGGAGCCAAGATAGTGGAGAATAGGCAGTGACTGGCCTGAGCTCTCTCCCAAACCTCTCCAAACACCTTTAAATAATGCTGTAAAACAATTCCTGGAGCAGCAGAACCCACAAAAGGACACAGTGAAATAATTTCCTAGCCAAAGACAACTTAAAAGTTTGGCAGGAAAGGTCTGTTGCACTTGGGGGAGAGTACAGCATAGTCCAGCACAGGCTGTGCCAACACAGACCTAGCCCCAGCAAACCAGGAGCAGGCTTTGGGAGCTACTGAATCAGCAGTGGCTATGGCTGCTTCTGGAGCTTTCTGCCCACAGACAGTAAAGGGGTTGAACAATTGATCTGAAGGAGATTACAGGGATCTCTTAGCTAGCACTGAGGCAGGACTCTGTTGCTTTGCCCTTCCTGAGATCCAGGTCACTGTCCTGGGTGGCAGTCCCTGGGCAAGGAGGGGCACTAGCATACAAGAGCTTGTAGCCATAGTGGAGTAGGGACCCTTGTCACAGTTCCAAGGCAGAAAAGAGTGTTTGTGTTGGCTCATAGACAAGATCACAAGCCAGGAGAGCAGTAAAGACCTCTCCTTAGATCATACCATCTTGGAAGAACTGAAAACTTATAGGTCCCTAGAAGTGTCTCTGAAAACAGCTTTACAAAAATCTTGAAGCTTGGTACAGTGTACTCTCCACCCTAGAAGCAGGGCCCCACTTGATTTATTTTTTTGTTTCATTTTTGCAAGGCAATTGGGGTTAAGTGACTTGCCCAGGGTCACACAACTAGTTAAGTCTCAAGTGTCTGAGGCCAGATTTAAACCTAGTCCTCTTGACTCCAGGGCCGGTGCTCTATCCATTAAGCCACCTACTTACCCCTAGAGCCCAACTTTAACATAGAGTTAAAAGTCAGGAAATAGACTGAGAAATGAGCAAACAACAGAAAAACATTCTGACCATAGAAAGTTACTGTGGTGACAAGGAAGGTCAAAACACATGCTCAGAAGAAAACAAAGTCAAAGCTCCTATATCCAAAGCCTCCAAGAAAAATATGAATTGGTCTCAAGCTGTGAAAGGGCTCAAAAAGGATTTTGAAAATCAAATAAGAGAGGTAGAGGAAAAAATAAGAAGAGAAATGAGAGTGATGCAAGAAAATCATGAGAAAAGAGTCAGCGTATTGGCAAAGGAGGCACAAAAAATACTGAAGAAAAAACACCTTAAATAACAGACTAGGCCAAATGGTAAAATATGTACAAAAGACCAATGAGAAGAAGAATGCATTGAAAAGTAGAATTGGCCAAATGGGAAAAAAAGGTACAAAAATTCATTGAAGAAAAAAACTCATTAAAAGTAGAATTGTCTATTTATAGCAGCTCTTTTTGTGGTGGCAAAGAATTGGAAATTGAGAGGATGCCCATCAATTGGGGAATGGCTGAACAAGTATGTATATGAATGTAATGGAATACTATTATGCTATGAGAAATGATAACAGGCAGACTTCAGAAAAACCTGGAAAGACTTGTATGGTCTGATGCTGAGTAAAGTGAACAGAACCAGGAGAATGTTGCACATGGTAACAGCCATGTTGTGTGATGACTAATATTCGTAGATAGACTTAACCATTTTCAGCAATATAAGGATCTAAGACATCTCCAAAGGCCTCATGATGGAAAATGCTATCCACATCCAAAGAAAGAACTATGGAGTTTGAATGCAGATCAAAGCGTACTATTTGCTATTTTTTTCTTCTGTTGTGTTTTGTTTCCTCTTTCTGGCGGTTCCTCCTATTGGTTCTAATTCTTACCTACAACATCACTAATGTGAAAATAGGAATATATATGTATATTTAATAGGAATATATATATGTATATTTAATAGGAATATATATGTATAGCCTGTATCAGATTGTGTGCTGTCTTGGGGAGGGAAGGGGAGAAAAATTTAAAACTCAAAAGCTTATGGAAGTGGTTGTTGATAATTCAAAATAAATTAATTAAAAATAAAAAAAAGTGGAATTGTCCAAATGGAAAAGGAGGTACAAAAGCTCACTGAAGAAAATACTTCCTTAAAATTATAATTGAGCAAATGGAAGCTAATGACTTTATGAGAAATCAAGAAACAATAAAAACCCAAAAGAATGAAAAAAATAGAAGACAAAATGAAATATCTCATTGGAAAAATAACTGACCTGGAAAATAGATTCAGGAGAGATAATTTAAAAATTATTGGACTACCTGAAAGCCATGATAAAAAAAAAGCCTAGACATCATCTTTCAAGAAATTATCAAGGAAAACTGTCCTGATATATTAGAACCATAGAGTAAAATAGAAATTGAAAGAATCTACCAATCATCTTCTGAAAGAGATCACAAAATGAAAAATCCCAGGACTATTATAGCCAAATTCCACAGGTCAGGGGGAAAATATTGCAAGCAGCTAGAAAGAAACAATTCAAATATCATGGAGCCACACAGTCAGGATAATATAAGATTTAGCAGCTTCTACATTACAAGATCAGAGGGCTTGGAATATGATAATTCAGAAGGCAAAGGAGCTAGGATTACAACCAAGAATCATCTACTCACCAACACTGAATATAATCCTTCAAGGGGAAAAATGGACATTCAATGAAATAGAGGACTTTATTTCAAGCATTCTTTTTTTTTGGGGGGGTTGATAAAATGTGGTTTTATATTACTTTGCTGTTATATAGGGCATAACATTTTTCACAAGGCTCTTTTGGAGACTGCAATGAATGATTAGCAACACACAATAGTGGTCCAAACTTTCTAAGTAACATTCATTGGACAACCATGATACCCTCTCACATGTGCACAAATCTGCATGGAAAAGTACTAAAATGTTATGCCCGGACTTGTGTATTTCCGATGGTTTCCCCCATTCTAGTTATTAAGAAGTGATATGCACTTTAATTTGCCAAAAAACATTTGTTTTATGGTAGTTAAATGCTACTTCTTTTACATAGTGAAGTGGACACCAGAACTACAAAGGCAGGAGTATGAGTGAACTTGTATTGAGACAGGGAAATTGTCAAATGAAACAGCAGCAACTGAAGAGTAATAAAACTGTCCCAAAACTTATTATACACTTTCAAGCATCTTGATGAAAAGACCAGAGCTGAACAGAAAATTTGACTTTCAAATACAAGACTCAAGGGAAACATAAAAATGTAAACAGGAAAGAGAAATCATAAGGGAGGGGAAATGGGAGAGGACACACCACGCATATGGAAAATGTGTGACTGGTTCTAGGAGTAGGTGTCAGCATATGTTTTCATAGAAAAAGTTTTCAACTTGAGACTGGAGTTCATATCCCAGCTCTGACACTTCATAACTATATGATCACAGGCAAATCTTAACCTCTCTGAGCCTCACATTTTTCATCTCTAGAATGGGTACAATAATACCATCCTACCATTGTTTTTGTGTCTGAGGGAAGCACTTTGTAAACCTTATAATGTAATGGTTATTGAAGTTACTATTACAATGATAATGAGAATGGTACTGAATAACTTAAGAGGGCAGGGTGAGGATGGTAAGATGGGTAAGAAGACATGGAAATGGGAGACTGAGTTCATGAAGACAAAGTTTGTCTACCTCTCATTTTGCTTATGGATGACTTTATTTCACAATGTATCTTCAATTTTGGAGGCAGCTAGGTGGCTCAGTAGATAGAGCACCTGCTCTGGAGTCAGGGAGACCTGAATTCAAATCCAGCCTCAGATACTTACTAGCTGTGTGACCCTGGGCAAGCCACTCAACCCTAATTGCTTCCAAAAAACAAAACAATGTATCTTCAACTTTTTTGAAAATCTGATGTTTGATTAGTTCATCCCAATGATCTGTAGTTGTTGTACAGTTGTGTCTGACTCTTCGTGACCCCATTTGGGGTTTTCTTGACAAAGATAGTGGAGTGATTTGCCATTTCCTTCTTTCCTTTTAATTTAATTTTATTTCATTTTTAATTTATGGAATAAAACAAGCATTTCTATAATATAATATAATAGAAAAAGATGAATGTACATGAAATTCTAAATCTGTTGTGTACAGCTTGCTATTCCTTTTAAATGTATAATAAAATTGTCATGTAATTTTTTTCTTTTTTTTCCTTCCCTCCCTAGAGATGGCTACAATTAGACACAATGTATATGTATGTAAAATCATTCTATACATATTTCTATTTATCAGTTCTTTCTATGGATGCAGATAATGTCTTCCTTCACATGTCTTCTGTAGTTAATTTGGGTACTTATGATATATAGTCAAAATGACTTATTTGCTCAAAGTTGTTCTTTTTCCCCCCAATTTATTCAAACATTTTTATTTAAAATTTTGAGTTCCAGATTCTATTCCTTCTCCCTCCCTTCCCTCTTCCCTTCCTGAGAGAGGAAGTAATCAAATATAGGTTATATGTGTGCAATTATGTAAAACATTTCCATATTACTCATT